CAATACCCAATACACATGAGCTGCAGCCCCCACAGGACACCCCAGATGAAGGCTAATGCCGTCTCCAAGTTCAAGGCAGGATTTATGTAGAACTTGGAGTATCAACATGGGTGAGTTATAAAAAGAATATCACAAATACAGTTGTTATGAAGATGGAAACTATTTATAGAGGCCCCGAAAGGTTGATTCTGAACACTTTGGTTGCCATGATTCAAATTATGGTTTAAATGTGAGTTTAAACCATAATTTGTGAATGAATGAATCCATGACATCAGGAACTGAAACTTGTTTTTGAGCAAAAAAAGGTTCTACTAAGTATTTCTTTGATGCTTCTAAAAATAAAGTACTTGGTGAGTGTATTTTATCAAGCTCACCAAAGTGTAGAAAAAAATAACTGTACATCACAGAATAAGAACAGCAGAAGTTTCACATTTATTATTCAAAATAGTGTTAATAATTAAATAGGGTTTATTTCTAAGTAAGAAAACACTCTATGACCTCAGAAATGAGAAGCAGCTTGCGTGACAAAGCTAATCGTGAAGGCTGTTAAAGCTCTCCTCCTTTGCTCACTAACCCACTGTGCCTCTGCTGCCTTTTGTCTTACTTGTCTGTGTGCATACGTGCATATAGGGTACGTATATATATATATATGTTACAGGGCTGCTGTAGGAGAAACCATTCATAAGAACATGTTTGATCGTTACTTCACTTTCCATGGACGTCACTGCAGAGCTATTAAAATTCACGCTGGATGGCAAAATTAAACAAAATGATAATAAAAATGATAATAATAGCCAAGAGTCACAGTATTTCTGCACGTGAAGCTGAGAAAATACCCACTGAAGGTTTTCGTCTCGATTTTATAGTCAGAAAAGGTGCCAAATTGTGTAGATTTTCCAGGATTTAGGGACTGACATCCCGAGACAGGATAATTTGTCGTGTCAGACACTATTCTAGTTTTATGCATCAACTGAGCTCACATAAGTTTAAAATAGAAATACGGTGTTACTGTGGATCCGCAGGAGCTTCTCTGATGGGATGTAGATATAGATGGGATATTATCGCAGGTCACAGGTCACAATATGATCAAAAACAAAGCTATGCATTTCATCTTAGGCAGGATGTATCATAGATCTCATTTCTTTGTGTCTAGGCTGAAATAAAGCCACTGAAAACTCAACAGTCGTAAAAAATTTTTTAAAGAAAGACAGTAAGACTCAGTCTGAAATAAGGCTACAGTAGAATGTAGTTACAAAAGCAACATCTTAAAGCTTCGCCACAGCCACAGTTAAACAAAGCTATACAGTTCACACTTCCAACACTTTTTTTTCTGCAGTGGGCGTTAAGATTTTCACCCAAGACCTGAGAAGAAGAATGAGACTCTTCCCAAACTGGTAGGCTATATTTTTCACAAGGAGCAGAAAAGATCTGTGACACAACAACAAAAAAAATTCTGCAACAAACATTTAAGGAGCTCCGTTTACATTGCTACCTGCTCAGGGTTTTGGGGTTCTCTTCGGTTCCTCAGCTGTTGACCGAGAGTAACAGCTTCTGTAGTAAAACTGTACAGTCCATGCTTATATACATACATCCAAATCTCTTTAACACGTACGCTATTACAACAAAAGCTTCTCAAAGACAGACAAAAAGTGAGCTGGCGACTGTCCAGAGTTTATCTTTGCACCTTTTGTCCAACTCCGCCAGGATAGGCTTGAGACTCCTTTTGAAACTA